TGCCATAATTTATTACACATTCACTATTGAATAAAGCCTACCTATAATACTTTTTAATGTACATATACATATTTGTGCAGGGCATAATTAAGGGTACAAGACTAAATGAGCGTAAAATCATATATTAGAATAGATGATTGATAAACTTTCTATATGATGATCAATTAACTTAATACATCATTGACTACTGAAGACAAGCAAAAGACAACTAAATTCCTATTATGCACATGCGAAAACACATGGCTGGAATCCTTATGTCTATAAATGGTGACAGAAACTATGATGGGGAAAATGCCATCAGGATCAAGACAATTTGCTTAGCATTATCAAGTGGTCCTAAATTGCACTGCTGGTGTCAGTTAAATTCCAGTAAATGTAATTAAAGATGCAATTCTTTATATTTCTATAGGCCTATAATCATGTATCAAGTAGCCATAGGCTATTTCACTGAATTACGCTATCATTTATTTCCTGAACTGACCGAAATTTAAATACAATTGACTAAAAAACGTTTTTTTCCCCGCTGTAGCCTGATATATGCTATAGTTGCTGCAACCATGGTCACCAAAAAGTAGAGGAAAAGGCTGGAGTGGAGTTGACTAGAGAAACCCAAACTGGCTCAGTTTTCAAACGACTATTCAGCTGGGATTTATCCACGCCAGGGCGATCAGGGGGATTAACCAGTAATTAAACCCCATAAACAATCGTCCCCTTGGCCTTTTCAACGTCTTGTTGAAGGACACTTGGTCACTTTGCACATAAAGGAAAGTGCGGACAGAGGGAGGGACAGTTTAGATCAACGATCTATGAGTAAATAGCAAGCACGTCCTAAAGTATTTCAAATGTCATTTATCCAATAAATTACGTTTATGGAAAACTAGACATTTAAATGACACGTAGCCTATACGCCCACTCTACCTACATTCAAGTGAAAATATTGACAGCAAGCAGTTGAGTTCACGATTAATTTAACTGGAATATGACTATATGTGACGGGGAAAACATAATTAACGGGTTATGAGTATAAATAAATTCGCATAAGGACAATTAAAAATGTGTCGGGAGATTAAGTCATGCCTGTAGATAATCTACATAATCGAACCAAAAGAAAACCACTATGAAAGTTGGATAGGCTATGTCCTGGCCAGAAAAACCTTATCAGGGTTGAGACCAGCGTGCCGCACAGTTTTCACCAACAGCTTTCCAGACTATAGGAAGTGGTCAGTAGGCCTAACCTTTATCCTCATCCTCGGGGACCCCCTTAGTGTTTTCTCTCTCCGTTTGTTTTTCAAAGGCCAACAGGAAGCGCCAGGATCCCACATGACCCCTGCATTGTTACAGAGCAGATATCACAGCCATTCAATGGAGCACATCTGTGTGCTGGTGATCTGGGCTATGATCTGTGAGCTGGAGCCAATGCTATGGCGTTCATTCACAAATCCCTCTGCCCCTGTAGCATAACCCTTTCTGAGGGAAAGTAAACCAAATAGAAAGAGACATTTACCGAAATAGAACGTTTTGGCTGAGTTTGGAGAGCTGGGATGAAAGTAACGAAAATGGGCACCAGATTGGGTAGGCCTATTAAAAAAGTCAGGGGATGATTCTGTTAGAATAGGCTAGACTGGAATTATTGGACTCATAAGGAAATATTTTTCCAACTGCCAATAATTGGCTATACAGAAAAGTGTTTTAAGAAAAGTTGCATATAGGTTGAACTGCGGTTTTTAAATATGAGCAATTAATAATTTAGAAAAGTTTGAGTTGGCCTACGACTAACTCCGTAAAAGGACGATTGAACATTTGCAAACAATATGCCTAATTCTATTTCTGTTTGACAGCCAGTTTGGCAGATTGTGAGAGTTGGGGATGTCACCATGAAGGACAGAAACGTCCGTCAAATATATTTAAATGGCTAAAATTCACATCTCTGCACATTTGTTAACCTTTCCACATGAATTGCAATATTTCATAAGACAAGGTTATGAATGCAATTCCTAAATGCAATAACATGATTATAAGCTAACTAAATTACACAATAAAGGAAGTCACCATTTCATCGAATCTGCATGAGCTTGGATTGAACATTTTACACCCTTGTTGTGGTTTATTAATTAGTTAAAGTTACTGCTTAAAAGTGACGTGAGTATTTAGGACTTTGAAAGGTGTATATCCCCTGGAATGAGGTTAAATAAAAGGTCATTGGAGAGTGGATCTACTTTCTCCCACCTGCCCTGATTAAATGACGGAAAAGTTGCCTAGGCCTATAGAATGTAATTCTAGGATCCTTGTTTTGCGTGAGAAGTTCAAAGCAGGTTAAAATACATTTCGAATAAGTGTGCAGGAGGGGGGGGGGGGCTTAACAAAACATATCTGCTTGGACCGCTGACAACTTCAAGCTGCATGTCTTTTCGATTACAGGGTCCAACTTCCCCAACGAGTCCTGGTTCATTTGCAAATAAGCATTGCAGAACAGCGTAAATAATTTCAAATAACGTCAACAAGTCTGCAAGTGTTTTTCCGCAATATGGAATTGGAATTTCAGTGTTTGCTTCGTCGCATGTAGACAAGGCACACCTAGCCTACATGCAAAGCTGTCCTTTTAAATGCTATAGGCATATACAGTATGAATAGTCTATATGTCGCATTTAATGTTTGGTGCAAACATTAGGCCTTAACAATCAATATGACATTTAAATGCAAAAATAGGCAGCCTAATATCCTGTATCAGGACAAAAATAGGCATACCCTAAACAAAACTAATCACAAAAATGAATTAAGACACCAGGACTACAAAAAAACACACATTTTGCTGAATTTCAAACAATTGTATTTTTGGAATATAAATTATTAAAAAAAACACGTGTATGATTTAATACAGCCATATAACGCAATGATTTTACCATTATAACTCAGTATTTCATGAACACATTGTTTTTTTCTCGGTTTTTGCTATATGCAAAGGTTTTTTGTTCTCTCCGTGATGTAGCCTATAACCCCGTAACCTCTACATCCAACTATTAAGACAATGACAAAGGGAAAGGGAGAATGAATACTAGATCAGATCAATCCAACTCAATATTCTCAAACAAAAGCCAGTCTTGGTCATTTTCTAAGGAGCTGTCCAAAACATTAATTTTCTTATGAGTTGGGTTTACAACCATTTTCAATCCCATCAAGACAGGACAGCCTCATGTATCATCATGATTATCAATAGGCTATTAATGTGCATTATTTGTTTACAGTAATCTTTTGCGGATCGTTGATAACATCTGGACTAACTTCTGCCTTCTACCTCCCCAACTAGGCTATAGGCCAACAATAATGTTCAAACGCTGTGTAATAACACAAAATAATGGATTCAGACATGGCCAATCCCAACAACTAGGCTAAATCGTGTTTTTGGCTGATGCCAAAGGCACTGCATGGCACATAGGCTATCAAATAGAAAATAACTATTTGCTCAATAAGGCTGCACTATATATAATGCACACCTAGTTCACCAAGTTTGGAGAGCAAGATCCGCGCGTGTTGACCTGAGCTCATTTCGCTCATCAATATGTCGAAATATGACCCACTTCGATTCTATAAGACAGTCAGAAAGTCTACATTTTACCGAAAGACTTGACCTGAGGACATCACCCATAGGCATAGGCCACTGAGAGAAGAATAGTCTTCAATTCTTCACGGCAACATGTGATATCACAGCTGTTTGATGGCATCGCCAATTTTTAAAGCGCCACGGTCCTTTTTATGCGCAAACCGATTTTGTCTATTGACTGGACTAAAGACCAAACAGATTGTCCGCGTCCACTAGGGCAACAATCTTATGATAAAACTATAAATTACATTACCCATGCCCTATAGTGGTTATAGATAATATTGGATAACCAGAGACCAACGGATGACTATTACACACCATCTTTGAATAGGCTACCTTAACAACATAGGGGTATATTAAGTTGCATTCCCGTATAATTTGACATATAGGGCTACTTCAAGTGCAAGAAACGAGTAGCCTAGCAAGTGCACCACCCATCGTGTCCCCCTAGCCAACTATGCGCTACTCTGGGAAACACCGTTGGAAACTTATTCAGTAATGTTGGGCACTGCGAAAGCATTTTGCGGAGTGATGGCTCATCCCTGTTTGGTAATCTTCCTCATTAATATGATTTTTTTTTACAAACACATTAGAAAAACATATTTGAGGTTTCACACCCCTCCCCCATTCGAGGATACCCCATTTTCATGGGCATGCCTTATGTGCGCTTTGAACCGAAGAACCAACGAAATGTGGAGATTTCTCTATAACAAAAAAACTTTAAAAAACTCTCAGCAGAAAATAGTTTGTTTTTTATTATAAAAAAACTAACTGGGAATGTTGACTGAATCAAAAATGGTGTCCTACTTGTTTATGTATTTTGAATACTACAGCTTTGAGGATTGGGTGAGGTGTAGGGGTGCTGTCATCGGTCTTCTAGTATTCTGGAGTCATTGGTCATGTGGTAACATTTCACGAACTCTATTGGTCCAAGGCACGTGTCTTAGATACCGGACTGCAACGTCACTGGGGGGACTCGTAGCCTATTAAAAATAAGAACGAAAATCCATAGTGAAAGTATTTCAGGAGCAGTTAGCGCCTCTTTATCTACTCGTAGTTTAGTAGTTGAAGCATCAAGATTGGATTGGTTCTGAAAGGGGACCACTACTACTCAGTATTTTAAATGGTAGATTACTTTCTCAACAAATAGATCAATCATAGCAAGGCGGAAAAATACATTTGAAGTATGTTTTTTCTTTGTGAAAAAGGCAAGAGGCGTGGTTTTATTACTACCAAAACTAGATACTGAAAAAAAAAACGGATTTCGTTTTTATTTCCAATAACATTTTATTTAAAAAACGCAGTGGACAAGGAAAGCTAGAACACTCATACATTGGAATTCATAATTTTGTGTGGGAGAGAGAAAGGTAGGCTACCAGAATTGGACATTGAGTATTTCACCATGGAAGAAGATGATAATCGCAATGGAGAGCGTCAACATTCGGGAGAAGAATTCAACAGAGCTATTCTTCCTCTTCTCCAAGCACCTGGGAACCAGCAACCGCACCGAATCACCAACTTTTACATTGATAATATTTTGAGACCAGACTTTGGACGGCGGAAAGACGGGACTTTTAATTATGATGAGAATCACCTCAATGGACGAGAGAATAGTCCTCGCCTTCCCCCCAAATCTGGGCAGTTAGGTGGGACGGTGGCAGGGGAAGGAACATCGAATTCTCGTTCAGTCGGTGAGCCCAAAAAAGATATTGTTGGAGATGAGCCTCTCAAGCCCCGAGGAGAAATTGGAGATCAGTGCCTAAGCTCCGACTCGGATAGTTCTCAAGCCAATTCTGCACCTTCGTCGAAACCTATGCTCTGGCCAGCCTGGGTGTATTGTACAAGATATTCAGACCGACCATCATCAGGTAAAGTATAGTATTTTCCTTGCCTTAGTATTAAGTAAGAATATGAATACCATTAACCACTGGATCACTTGTGCAATATAAACTGACTCAGTGAACTAAATAAATCAAAATATAAACCTGAAACCATCTCCTGCAGCCACATTATACAAACATAAAAATGATCCCTTTGTGTAGCTTATTTTCAACTATTTGTCCAAAACTTTTAGGAAATGAATAAAATATATTCGAATGATTTTTTCGTTGCTAATTAATGTTTTTATTTTTTATTGTTTTATCCATAACGACAAGGAAGACTTCGATTGACCTAGAATTCTGATTGGATGATAATGGCGGTTACAAACCAAATATTAGGCGTAGGCCTATTATAGGTAATGTTATCGTATTGTTACTGTTATTATAAGTATCTCCATAAAACATATTTGGCAAGTCATGCAATTATTATCAAGCTGACAATTCCGTTTGAATAGCCCTAATAAAGAAAACAAGGAAAAGGATGAAGAAAATAGAAAAGTCAATACTTTTTGGAGAAAAAAAAAGGATTGAAAGTATCGAAGTATTAAAAATATTGAAGTATTTAACTTGTAAAGCAACTTTTAAAGCAGTATTGAAACATAGTTTAACGCCAGTGTTCCTCACTCGTCTTTGTTAATATTTAATTAGCATATTTTTTTGACAATGGAGCAAGGCAAAAACTATTCCATCCATATGCGAAATGACTGAGATGCATGCAATCACACTTTTAGAGTGCAAAGTTTCGAAAAAAAAACTGGACAGACATTAGGAATAGAAACGTCGTTTTGTAATTACTTTTTACTTCCCTCCTCTGATATATTTAGCATGTAGTTTATCATATTCTCAAACTATTCTCATATTAGGATATTAGGCCTAGCATAAGCGCTTATCTACTGCTGCAGGACGTGATTGTCAGATCTTCCATTATGGCCTATAGGCTAATGTTTGTTATGTTTTGAGGTTTTTCATATAACGTCGAAGTAAATACACTTCAAAGTGTATCAAAGTAACAATTATATATGTTGTCCATTTTAATTTCTAGGCTATTTAATTTCTAGCTAACATCGTTTAAAAGGAGCACATTGTTAAGCTATATTGCATTATCCATTCAGCTATTTAGAAGCACTAACATGATGTTAATATTGATAATATCCCATCGTCGTATAACCTATAGGCCCTATATTATGCATAATGGAATGAATACATTAACTTCTCCGAACAACTCGAAAATTGTAACAAAATAAAGTTCCATTACTAAACAAAAAAAGTTACCACTGTGTTTTATGTTGGTCTCATAACATAGGTCTGCATGTAACGAAATAAACGGTATTAAAAAAAAACTTCATTCCAGGAGTACGGAAAAATAGATAGGCATATTGATCATAATAACGTTCAAATGCTATTGTGAATCCAATAAACGTGCAGCTGCGAATCGATCTCTTATTTGGTGTAGAACTAGCCAACTCAAAATCAGTTTCATGAAATGTTCACGATATTCATTACATATTTATGAAGCTTATAAATGTAGTTCCTATGGTAACAGTGATAAAGGGGCGCCTATACCCCCTCCCTCTAACCCCACCCCCATCAACACCCACCCATCATCCTCTCCTATGCACACAAAACCCCGCACCCTTTTAGAATATTTTAAATTCTAATACAATTTTAGGTCTATAGCTTATTGTGCCTATACTGGCAATTTGGCTAATATTAATACCAACACAATACTTCTTCTGCTACTAAAGGCCCATTGGGCCTAATACTTGGCTATTACTGCTATCCTACTAGGCCTATTCTAGCATGTTAGAGTCCTACGAATCCGTTTTGATCGTCATGATCATCATATTAATTAGTCAGGCATTAGTGATCATGTTATTGAGGACGTTGAAGGCATCGTTTTTGTTCCTTTCAAAGTCTGATCATTGAATGTATTCTAATCTACAGGGCCAAGATCTCGTAAACCAAAGAAGTCGACCACTACCACGACCACGACGACGACGACGACCCCAAGCAAGGATGACAAGCGTCCGAGAACGGCCTTCACAGCAGAACAGCTCCAGAGACTAAAAACGGAGTTTCAGACGAGTCGGTACCTGACGGAACAGAGAAGACAAAGTCTGGCACAAGAACTGGGCCTCAACGAATCTCAAATTAAAATCTGGTTTCAAAACAAGAGGGCCAAAATAAAGAAGGCTACCGGGAATAAAAACTCTTTAGCCTTGCACCTGATGGCACAGGGACTATACAATCATGCCACATCATCTAAGGATGAAAAATCAGACAGCGATTGAAGAAAAAGATACAATGCAATAAATAACTTTAAAGGGCCAGTGTACAAAAATACCAGCAAATATTTAAAACATGAATGAGACAGGATTTTGCAATATTCTGTAGGTATAGTTTTAAAAAAAATCTGTTACTTTGCTAGGTATTATTACTGCATTGTTGGAGCTAAAAACACAAGCATTTCGCTGCACCTGCGATAGCATCTGCAAATCTGTGTACGCGACCAAGACACTTTGATTTGATTTAAACCATTTTGTTTTATAAAACTTTTGCCATGTTCTCCCTGGAACTTTAGAATTGCTTCAGCATCAAAGTTTGTTTTGTTTTTAGTAAGTTTTGTTTTTATCACATTTGACCGAAATAATGGAAACATGCTGAAGTCCAAAGATTTGTTCTGCTGCATTTTGGAAACTGTGAATTTAAATAGCCTAAATTGTGTTTATCTATGTTTTGACGATTTTTTTTAAAAATCACACTGTTTCCTTGTATTTTGATGTTCATGTTGAAAATGTTTTTTTTTTTAGGTTCCTTTGTTTTGTGTAAAAATACAGCCTGTCTGAGTTGATATGGAAGGAACCATACGCATTGAATTATGCGTATTATCTGATAACAATGCATTTTTATATTACAATTAAAGTTCTGCATTAACTATAGCTATCTCGTGAGCATTAAATATTAATACATTCAGTAAAATAATTCAGCTTTGGTTACATGTATTGATATGAAACTGAGATTTGATGAAAAATAAATACATAATATATTCAATAGGCCTATAAGTTACTTTAAACTTGACCCAAACTATAGAAATTAGTTGAGTCATAAAAGGAATGTAGCCTAACTTCACTTTCACTAAAGGACCTCTGTTGAAATACCTATAGCATATAGTAAGAAAAACAAAACAGTATTTTATCAACTGAAATATTTGCCTGGTATGTAATCGCATAACACGAACTTTCTTGCAAGTCTACCATTGGTTAAGAATGCTATGATTCACCCCAAAGTTCAAGTTATGCGCGCGTAGCTCATATCCAACGGTTAAATAGGGAGGAGTGGTGGGGGGTGGGGGTGGATGACAACAATGGGAATTGAGCAGATATCCATTTGGAATTATCATGGAAATGCATCCGTTTTGGGTCACTTCAACCACCAACAAAATCCAATTTAACCCCGGCTCAAATCAGGATTTCAGTGCCAAGCGAGGACCTTTAACTTTGTACCATAGGCCTATATGGACCATATGTCTTCACTTCAATCATTTTACTCTTATGAAACACTTCACTGCTGAAGTAACGTCAATGGGCATCATATATAGGTCTACTGTACAAATAATGTATATCAAATTGTCCATGCATTCCATAGTTTTAAATACATTTTATTGTTATTTGCAAATAACATAATATTCATATTTATAAACAATCCTCATAGTCTAAGCGGCCATATTGTTTCTCGAAAAGAAGCTCTGGAATGTTTACATAACTTATTTTTCTTGCAATAACTTCTTTTTGTGAATGAAACGTTTAGAGGCCTTTGCATGAAATCTGCAATCTGTATATCATGAGACAAAAGTTGCTGTATCTACCAAATTGTGGTCTTATGATGTGAATGATCTTTTATTGTCAATCTTAAGTGTGTGTAAATTAAAATCCAAATTGAAAAAACACACTTTGCCTTAAGAATTCTGTAAATGAACTTTTCTATGAGTACTGTGCTACAAAGAAATAACACATTAAATGTTTATATCAAGAATGGGCTATTACCATTAGAGATGGTATACAATGTTAATTTACAACATAATTTTTAAGAATATGTATAAAGAACGACAACGTTTTGGTTGTATTTTTCTGTCAGTATTCTTTGATACGAGACAAATGTAAATAATTTGTATCATACTGTGTAATTAACCAATAAGTAAATAAACCACAAGAATACTAAGACAAGTTTAAATCCTTTATTTTTTTTTATAGTGATATAAACATGTCAATAATCAGAGTGCTCTAAAAGAACGGGCTGACCAATAGCTTACTGTTAATTCAGAAACACCCACTCTGGGAACCATTGCTGAGGCATACATGTGATATGGCCAATCCACATGTGTGTTGAAATAACCTAATATCAATTTGCATAACAACTACTGGCCTGTCTTGAAGGTAAATGAAACAGCGAGGAGAATTTCATCCAAGTACAGAACAAATAGTGCCACTTAAAAATATTGTCCTCGGATAGGCAATTGGTGGGTTTATGTATGATGCATGATCATTTCCTTGATACAAGGCCTGCCCCATGCCTCTTTCTGGATGGGCTAGCTCTCGATATACATATTTGTGGACGTGTTTTCTCATACAGAGTAGACTGCATTGTGTGATTGGCTATTTGCAGGTGGTCATCAGCTAAATAAACCTATGAAAAAGAATACAGTATTTCATGCATGGAAATTATGATTATACTTGTTTTACAGTCTGCAATTTAAGTGGTGTTTACATAAATTACATGCTGGTAATGACCTAATATGCCTACTTGCATTCTGGTTTCTTTGGGTTTTATTCAAACAAGCAGCACTTACACAAAATGGTACCAGGTAGTTATAGTTGTGTTGATTTCTTGGAAGTGGTACCAGAAGTATCCATAGTTACTGCATCATGTCCTTGTAAATACCAGGGAAAACGCAGGTGAAACCGTAAAGTAACAGGACTGTAAAGTGTTAGTTAAATTACTACAGAGTTCAAATTACTTTAAAAAGTTGCACTGTTCAAGATTAAGTATGAACAGAATTCAATCAAACTTGGTATGCAGAGAAAGTATCTTGTCCCTGTGCCAGGAATGACATTTTTTAAAATTACAATGGAAAGGACAACTGTAGGTTTCGCCAGGCAAACATAGTCTACAATGTATTTACTAAATGCAAAATACTAAAAAGAAATGTTGACCACAAAGAAAAGTTACACATAACTTGCACCAAGATGTTATAATCAGTCTAAGTTATATGCAGCAGAGTATACCTCATTTTAGTTTTACAATTGAGTAGTGTTCGGGTGACCGCCACAACTCATACCAAAGACAAAATACAGGTTTACATTTCTCAAGTCATTGGTGCGCAATGCTGAATTCAGGCCACCTATACTTAGGAGTCTTGAATAGAGTTTAAGAGAAGACCCAGCATCTCAAAAGGGAATGTTGTACTCATTTCTGTCTCTCAAAAAGTGCTCTGCAATGATCTCGAAAGTGTTCTTAGAATCCCACGACAGCAATTTCACTCAGTATTCCACTCAGTTGCTATAACACTCACCTTCAAATAATTTGCTCTGTCAAACATATCCACAGCAGAATAACAAACTGGGAATTAAAAGCTTATGGAAACAATAAAACTAGTTGGTTCAATAGAATACATATCCTCATAAATGAACGTTTTGAGACTTGCATTGTTTGGTTACAGAGGAGGTAGTAATCCAGAATGCTGAATGCTTTCCCGTCACCAGTTTCTGCCTGTAACAGAGTCTCTCATCAACAAAGTCAATTTCCCCTCACATACATCAACCAAGTAAGGTTGATCAAATCCAGAAAAAGAATGACACCTTTTGAATATGATCATAATATAGTTCTCATGTGGATTTCAAAACTGCCATGCATAACCAAACACATCAAACATGGCTGAACTTCAGTCACCAATACAGGTCACAACATTCTGCAGTCTCAGTATTACCTGATGCTCTCAAACATGTATAAAAGGCCCCAAAAAACTGAAAAAGGATCCAAACACAAAAGGGAGAGCTATCTGTGTGGACCATTCTCAGCATTGACCTGCTCCTCAATGCCCCAGAACCTCATCTGCATTTCTATTCTGGCCCAGCTTGTGAATGTGGAAGTAACGCCCAACGGTCACTGACTTGATGAGCTCTCTGGGTTAGAAAAGCTGGTGCCTTAGACGCTGAGCTGAGCAACTCGGTTAGTTCCTCAATGGAGTCTGTGGCTGGGAGCCCCTGATGAAGGTCAAAGCCCTCTGTCACAGCTGCAGGTGGCTCATTTCCTTTAACCCATCACTTCTTCAACACCTCGGAATTCAAAATGTCCCTAAAAAAGGAATCTCATTAAATTATGTACATTTCCACAAAAATTCCATCCTCAAAAAGCTTGTATGTTCTCTCCTCCAACTCTCCATACCAGTGATGCATAATATCTTTTGAGCATCAAATACACAAAAAGTTCCTGCATAACTCTTCATGTTGATGAAAGTTAAAGTTTGGATAGAAAGTTCTGCCACAATTTCATTCCCTGCCTCTGGACATGAAAATGAACATGATTTCATCCACCACATTCCAGCCACCACTTTAGTCACAATACTTTAAAAAGGTCCACATGCAATTGCCCAGACAATGAAGAAATAAATAGCCTGCCCTACATCTTAGTTATCATAAGTTCACATATCCCGTGTCATAAAATTTAACCTCTCCAATTGGCAGAGGCAAAGGGCAGTCATATCAGAAAAGTATTGATGTCTCTTGTGTGTCTCTCAAACAAAAGACCCATCCTGTCCCTTCCCCCACTGAGTTATTTATCCATAGTTCTTAAATGCTTCCTAGTCAAACTTGAATATGGAATGAAGCGCTAGGGCTTTGTGGCGGAAATATAATTAAGCTGGTGAAAGATGTATATGGTGAAGAATGGGGATGACATCAGGCCAATTTCACACTTGGCACTCGGATGGCCGGGCCCAAGCTAGGCTCTTGCCACGCAACACAGATCAAAGCACACTGCCACTACCAAAAAGGCAAAGGAGGACTTAAGTATGCTAATCTCCAGGACAAATATATTTTAATCTTGTTAGAATACAAGTTAATGCTGCAGATCAGTGACTGAACTTTATAGAGAGTAAGGGAAAGATTCACTTTCCCAACATTTCTGAATGAGATGGTCTTCCTGGACCATTGAAATTGCATTTAAGAAATTGTACAAATGGTTTATCATATAGTCCTCATTACCTGTGTGAAGGTTGCATTTCATCTGAGAAACCCCCTCCAGGAGTCCACTCAGCATAGTGCAAAGGCACTAACATGCGTAGGAAATGAGCATTTAGTGGTCCAGTTTGCCCCGCCACTTTGAGCCCCTTGCCAACAGCACCTTGGTAACCCTTGATCTGTCATGAAGTTAAGCTCAAGCCCTAGACATCCAGAGACAGCTATGCACACAAAGCAAAGCTGACACTTTCTTAAGCCAGAAGAAACTCCCAACACAAAACTTATAGGAATATGCAACAAGTTGAAAACTTTTGTTTTAAAAGAACTGGATGTGCAGTTGGGGGAAAATGCTGTAATTCCTGATAATGAAAATTATATATCCTGTTTGTATTCAACTTGCCTGCTTCATAGGGTTTGTTTTCAGTCACATGTAGCCAGTGGAAGTTTGACACATACAAAACTTGACCCATGCATTTGTTCTTTGTTCCTTAGCAAAGGAGGTTTGAATTTCTTTCTCTAAAACTGACCCAAATCTTTCCACAAATAGGTGTAGATACATGTTGGGTAAAACTGTCTAAAAATGCTAAATAATATTTAGATCATAAAGCCCCAAAATACATATGTGACTATTTGTTATTATTGGATGAAGCTGTGAGGGTAATTATATGAAAAAGGAACAACATTGTCCATGAGGTTTTGCATTTCCCTGGCATATAGCAATGTGTTCAATCTGTAGATGGTGAATTTACAACCTGTGTGCTCTGAGACATGAGTGTTCTCAATTTTGATGATAGTTTACTTGATTTAGAAATGTTTTTATAGGGAAATAAGCATATCAGGCACTGTATAACTATCAATGCTCTCCTGTAGGTTCTTTTTACCCACCTTGCATTTTTTGTTGTTGTAACATTGCTAATTCTGCTTATCACCGATAAAGGGAGATCCCTTTGGATACATGTTCTGATCTATATTATAAAAAAATGGGTCATAACATCACACAAAGTTCAAATAAAGAAATACATCCCAAAATAATATCAATCAAAAGGGGTATTTTAGAAAAATTGTTGGATCAATTGTCATACTTCCCCATATTTCAGAGCACATACTAATGTTTAAAATGATACCACGACTGGAATTCAATTGTTGGAGACAGCAGATGATGGGACGTAATGGGACTGCCCATTTCAACTCTCTCCTCCACCCAGGACACACAGTGCAAATCAAATGCAACCTGCCATGCGGAAATCCACTATCTCAAACGGTTGAATTCTGGACCAAGAAAAATGGTCTGTACAATCAACAGATTTGGAATTCTGTGACATTACAAACAATTCTAAAACTGATCAGCTGATGAAGGTGAAAGCATTGCTGATCCAGCTCATTTTGACATTGCCTGTAGGACACTAAGCCATCTTTTTTGACATGGCTGCTTCCTTACAGTCCCTCAAGGCTGAGTACAGCACATTCAAACTTGGTTATTTATTTTTACACCAATCTTATCATTATTTTGAGTGCCACTTCTTCCTCCTGCATATTTAAGAAATGTATAATTTATGACTTTTTGACGACACAGCACCCATCTGGAAGTTACTAGGACTACCTCTAAAGAAACACACCTGACTTTCTATATCATAATACAATTCCGTGGATTTGACAACGTTAGTCCAGTATCTCAATTCAAAATAGAAAACTTTATTTATAAGTATTCAAGTTGATTGATACAATATCCTTCAAGAATGATTTCTTCATTTGAAATATATATCTAAACTGGTCCGGTCATTGGCAGCGGAGATGCATGTAAAACTATAGTTCGTCACTCTGGAATTTGGTGCCTTTACAGTGATCTGGAAATGAAATATTGACAAAAATGAGTTCGCCATCTTGACAGATGGCCTGTTAAAAATAACTATAAATAATTGCAGACATCCAGTAGAAGACATACCATTTACTGCAATGACACTAGCAAAAAACTAATTACATATTGAAAAACATACAGGAGATAGGAGCTGTGGTTTCTTTCTGATGATACATTCCATATAACCCTGATACTCAAATAGCAGCGATGAAGCCAAATCCGGCCTGACTTTCTTAACCTAGCACGTTCAAACTATCGGCCTACGACCACGATCTTGTTGAACAAAAATTGGCCTTTAGCTTTTCTAATGGAGTACTAGTTTCATACAGGTTCACAACATCATCCTCTGAGATTCTATAACAGTTAAATAAACTGTTTCTGCTCAGAAATAGTACTTGGCCAGTTGCGCTGCTGTTTCAGAACCCTCACTTAACAGGGTTGAAACAAAATGGTGGATCAAAGACGACAGTTACATAAGGGGAAAATCATGACACTACATTCAGCGCTGTAATAAAGGTAGTTAGTGTCTGGATGTATCCATGTTCATATTCTGTTTTAGGATGCATAATAAACAAGTGGTCATGTTTGTATTCCCTGGTAGCTACATGGTACTCTTCTAAACATGTTTGTATTCCCTGGTAGCTACATGGTACTCTTCTAAACATGTTTGTATTCCCTGGTAGCTACATGGTACTCTTCTAAACATGTTTGTATTCCCTGGTAGCTACATGGTACTCTTCTAAACATGTTTTTCCTGGTAGCTACATGGTACTCTTCTAAACATGTTTGGGGTAGCACAATAAAAAAACAGCAACATTAAAATGTTCTGATCACTAAATTGAGTATTTTGTAGGGCATCTGTCTGCTATTCTTCACAAATCAAAGCTCTTCAAAGCCCAAACACCCAGATACAGTGATTATTTGTTCATATAAAAAAAGAGTGAGTAGTCATTTTAATAAACTAATATAAACGCTAATCACTGGTGTTTTCTAATACTCCATTTAGGTAACGATGTGAGTAATAACATAGTTCTAGTTAGTATCATTTGGGTAACGATGTGAGTAATAACATAGTTCTAGTTAGTATCATTTGGGTAACGATGTGAGTAATAACATAGTTCTAGTTAGTATCATTTGGGTAACGATGTGAGTAATAACATAGTTCTAGTTAGTATCTATGCAGTAAGGGGCAAACAGGAGGCCTGGTGAGAGAGAAACCACAACATCTCTGAAACCGTACCTGATACTTCATTGCATAACTTGTCGACCACATGGTCGGTCTCTTTGGCAAAGAGAGAGATGATATCATCTTCAAACTCCTCCACAATGCTTTCACACTGTAACAGTAGAGAGGGGATAGGTTACCACTCGACAGACAGCAAAAACAGGTCTTCCGCACATGAGAGGTTCACAAGCATGTAGTTGGGCACGGCCGTGAGGCAGACTGCCATTTTTCCTCTCGCCATGCCGTTCAGCCATCTTGGATGACTCATGTAATCTAGATAGGCAACACGATTGTTGGCGATTCCACACACACACACTCACAGACAGACATCTTTGCACATCATACAATTTCTTACTTGTGGTGCCTAACTTGATCTTAAATATGCGCAAATTACATGTAAGACCACAATATAATTCTAAATTAACAAAGGAAAATATGTTATTGCCTGCATTTTGGGTTAACATACAGTACACCCCTGGCACCAAAATGACAAACTTCAACATTGAATGTTACACTGTATAACTGTATAAAATACAATAATAATGAAAAATACAAATGCAAGATTTAATCCACATATTTCCAGAGTTCTTGTTATAATTTCAATTAATGGCTTTCTATATTACAGACTACAGTGCATGAAATAGATCTTAACTAAAAAGGTGATAAGTAAAGTGGAAAAACAATATCAATGTACGTTTTAATGTTACGGGCACAATTATCAAGAATGTAACTGGATTTTCAGATAATATCAAGCTGTGATATCAAAGGCCAAGGTATAACATTGACTTCTGTGCTTTAAATTACATCAAAGTTTCATCCTGGTTAACAAAACATAATAAGCAGTTTCCCTCTGCTACCAATATCTCTATTCACTTTTGAAAGACTTAGTTAATACTTTTTTTTAAAGACTTGGACATGCAGAACATAGGAAAAAATGTAGCTACTTCACCTGCACTTTGAAGTATGTACAGCATGATGTACAGCATGAGTGAAAATAAATGAATAAATATGTGAGTAAATTAATAAATTATTGCCACACTTACCACAAATTTTAGGGCATTGGATCCCTCTGGGCCATCAAACTTAAAATTTTTAAAATCAGGAAAATCCCCAGCATCAGAACTTCTTGGAGCAAATCTTTTGTATTGCTTTTTCTTGGTGTCTGGGTCCACATGAAGAGCATAGTCACTCATGCTACCACAAACTCCATCCAGAAGCTCACTCAAGTTGGTCTCAGATCTAGCAAGAGGGACCTGGTGGATAAAAACATACAAATAAAATATAATCACATTATTTAAAAATTCCAGTTCTATGAAGTTGCTTGGGATCCGACCGGGTCATGTTGGTGACCCCTAACTTCCATTCCCATCACACAAACAACCCCTACTTCCCCTATGCTGAAACTATGACATTTAACCTGTAGAAGTATACCCCTTCCCCTTGGAAACAGGACAACACATGCAATGGTGTCTAGACAGGTCAAGGTGCACTATGCTCCCGCCCCCGTGGCCTCCCCGGAAGGAGAGAGGGGAAAGGGTGACGGGGGGCAGTGAAAGGGCCGGGGAGGGGGGCTGAGTTAAGGAGCAGGGGGAGGCCTAAACAGCAGCCAAGTGCAGGGTAAACAGTTCAGTCTCATCCTTTGGTCCCTTTTGGCGGTTCATCTCCTCCACCCTCCAATGATCAAAGCAGGAAGTTTTCCTTGTCAATCCCGGTCAAAAGGTGCTGGGCGAGGGGAAGGGGGGCATATTGCAGATGAACTGGATTTTGTGCAATGTAGATATATCCCTGACCCTATTGTCCCCTTTCAGCCTCAGTATGGACCCTTCCGGACCCACTGATTACATTATAGAAGCATTTTCCCCCTCCTCTTTTTTTATTTTTTTATATCTGACTCTTAGTGACACAAAGGGGCTTCCGTGGCTCACTGCCATCTGCTCACAAATAAGATAAAAAGGTCTCAGGGAACTGCCTGAACCTTGCTACACATTTCTCTCCTTTTTCAATGTACAGAGAGATAAGTAGTTAACATTGAGGATGGTCTATCAAAAAAAAATTATGGTTTGACTACTTCCACATTAATGTTTAACTGTTAACTAATAAGTCACTTCAAAACAAAAATGGGAATATCAAGTGTGCACTGCATTCAACCATAGCAGCACTTTTTGGCAAAAATTGTGATCATAACATTTTGCTATTCTGATTATTATTACTATTTTTTTTTACACCATAGGGGTTTTCTATGAATATGTATGATGAGATTTTAACCTAATTGGTCAGAAAAATCTGCCTTAAATGCTTTTTTTGTTTTTTTAAACAACATCCAGCATGAAAAAGTCCAACCTCAAGCCAAATCCTTATCATGCAATCCTGAAAATGGTGTGGAATTAAATTCCTTCCTTACCAGTCTAAGGGGTTTGAAAGGGACCTGTCAATCACACATTTCCTGAAGAATGAGGAGGGGACTAGGCAGACCTTGCAGAGAAAAGGCTTCTCAGAGATGCTATCCTCCATTGAATTCCCATTGGAAAACCAGCCATTATTGGAAAGGGGCTTTCAATTTCTGGTGTGAATAATATGGACCAATGAAAACACATTCATAAAAACTAGAACCTATTAATTCCACAATTTACAACAACGTGTAATGTTGTTATAGTCTTCAGATAAGGAAATATGTGCATAAACACACAGATAAACGATTGCTGCAATATTTACCTTTATCATGACAATCCAAAAAATGCAATTAATGAAGAGTGACAGCCATTTTTTTTCCATGGTCCAACCAGAAACATTAAAAGCCATTCATTGAGAATTAATACATTTATGATATACTATCTATATACGAACATAAAAACGTAAGACATGAACAACTTTCATCAACTTATTCATCTAAGTTCAATGTCTTTGGCTTAATGATTCATTGTTGTAGGTTTAACTTTGTGGTGTGACTGGTGTCAACACTGCCTTCAGGGAGCCCCGCTGCTTGCTGAGGAGAGCAAAGGAGACTTAAGACCAGCAAATCTCCGATGATGGCATCTAAGCTTGGACACCCCTCCCACCTTGATTCAGACAGGGTCAAAAGCCAGTGCGGTGGGGTGGGGGAGGGTTTCTTGGATTTATGCTCAGAAGTCAAAACAAGCCAGTGATTAGTGCAAAAGGTACACTTCCATAGGGCAGTAAGTATAGAAGTTGATCAAAAGAGTTGATCAGCCATCACGGTGTGTTGGTCATTTCACTTAAAAGTCAATGTGCTTACTGTTCAGAGCACTGTAAAAACAGGTACATCATTAAATACTTAACTCTTCTCTTACTAGTATTCATTTTGATTCAGTGATTATAGTGGAGCTATATCATTGCATTCATAAACTCTCTCTCTACTAACAACAACAGGGGTATTGCAGAGGCACACCCACACAGCATGAGGGCAAACTAAATGGAATATGAACAAGACTCACAGAGGTATAGGAACTGTAATTAGCATTTCTTTTCAAATTAACCCTCTTTTAGGAAACACTTAATGAGAGTCTGTGAATATGACATACAGAGCTGATCCATAGACTGAGCATAATAAACAGGAAGGACAGAGACTAATTGATGTCAAAAACTATTCATGTGGCAAGAGAAGGTCAAGACGATACTTCAAGTAAAAACTCATCCAACTCTATAATGTTTGTTATACTATGCCTATGGAATGTTTGATTGAATTCAAATCAATATGAATGAGAGAGAGTTGGAGTTGTCATATTATTAGATATATCATAATCCCTTTTACTTGAAAGTTAACTTGAAATGGCCACAGGGGAGAGGAAAAACCACAAACAGCCTAGCTAAATAAACAGCATGTTACTAGCTATCAATTACCATCAAAAGGGGATTAACCCCTGAGATCAATAGGGGAGCTGACCAGCTAATGACAGTCCCTGGACACTAGTGATAGGACACTGGAACACTACCAGACCTGACCTCTTCACACCACAACAATGCTTGGGTCGAAATATAGGGAAATACAGTGGTTTGAATTTCCAGATGGAAATTCAGGTGAAACTGTAATAAAGCGGGTCCCAATGCTTACAACCACCCAAAATGAAATTAAGTTACATACTGATCTGTAGTCCCGTGTAGCTCAGTTGGTAGAGCATGCGCTTGCAACGCCAGGGTTGTGGGTTCGATTCCCATGGGGGACCAGTATGAAAATGTATGCACTCACTAACTGTAAGTCGCTCTGGATAAGAGCGTCTGCTAAATGACTAAAATGTAAATCTTTATTTTCTTGTTTCACACTACACTAAATTCCATTTCTCAAGGTACGAGATCCAGGAAACCAGGAACTACTATGAAACCACTAGACCTATGTTTTGCCAAGTATTTTAAGTATGAATATGCATTCTTCACTGTATAAATGATGCATCGATCTCTAAATTCATAAATCATCAAATGTTTTATTTCCAGAAAATTCAATCGATAGCTTTATGTTTACTATGAGATGTTTTGCTCCAGTGGAGCGCACTTTGGAAGAATTTCGTACTTTTGCAACATGCTTTTACTGAGGTAGCTACCTTTTTATCAGTCAGGCTCCCATCAGGGTTGAGTCTGAACCCTCCCACATGGATAGTCTTCTTCGGATCAATCTGACTGATTGAATAGTTGAGCTCATCAACAATAGCCCTGCATGCTAAAAGAAACTGACATAGGTTAGAACAATCCACAGCACTCATTTACTTTAAAATAAGTATATTTAGATCCATAGTATGCCCACAGCTAAAGAAAAGCAAAAGTAAAACTGCAATAAAATTATTTTTAATGAAATAAGCTTGAAAATCTGATGATTAACAGCATGATAGCAACATTGAGAACATATACAGTACCAGTCAAAAGTTTGGACACACCTACTCATTCAAGGGTTTTTCTTTATTTTTATTATTTTTTACATTGTAGAATAATAGTGATGACATCAAAACTATGAAATAACACATATGGAATCATGTAGTAACCAAAAAGGTGTCAAACAAATCAAAATATATTTTATATTTGAGATTCTTCAAATAGCCACCCTTTGCCTTGATGACAGCTTTGCACACTCTTGGCATTCTCTCAACCAGCTTCTCCTGGAATGCTTTTCCAACAGTCTTGAAGGAGTTCCCACATATACTGAGCACTTGTTGGCTGCTTTTCCTTCACTCTGCAGTCCGACTCATCCCAAACCATCTCAATTGGGTTGAGGTCAGGGGATTGTGGAGGCCAGGTCATCTGATGCAGCACTCCATCACTCTCCTTCTTGGTCAAATAGCCCTTACACAGCCTGGAGGTGTGTTGGGTCATTGTCCTGTTGAAAAACAAATGATAGTCCCACTAAGCCCAAACCAGATGGGATGGCGTATAGCTGCAGAATGCTGTGGTAGCCATGCTGGTTAAGTGTGCCTTGAATTCTAAATAAATCACAGACAGTCTCCTCCTCCATGCTTTAGTTGGGAACTACACATGCAGAGATCATCCATTCATCCACACCGTGTCTCACAAAGACACAGCGGTTGGATCCAAAAATATCAAATTTGGACTCCAGACCAAAGGACACATTTCCACCGGTCTAATGTTCATTGCTCGTGTTTCTTGGCCCAAGCAGGTCTCTTCTTCTTATTGGTGTCCTTTAGTAGTGGTTTCTTTGCAGCAATTCTACCATGAAGGCCTGATTCACACAGTCTCCTCTGAACAGTTGATGTTGAGATGTGTCTGTTACTTGAACTCTGTGAAGCATTTATTTGGCCTGCAATTTCTGAGGCTGGTAACTCTAATGAACTCATCCTCTACAGCAGAGGTAAATCTGGGTCTTCCATTCCTGTGGCGGTCCTCATGAGAGCCAGTTTCATCATAGCGCTTGATGGTTTTTGCGACTGCACTTCAACAAACGTTCAAAGTTCTTGAAATGTTCCGTACTGACTGACCTTCATGTCTTAAAGTAATGATGGACTGTCGTTTCTCTTTGCTTATTTGAGCTGTTCTTGCCATAATATGGACTTGGTCTTTTACCAAATAGGGCTATCTTCTGTATACCCTACCTTGTCACAACACAACTGATTGGCTCAAACACATTAAGAAGGAAATAAATTCCACAAATTAACTTTTAACAAGGCACACCTTTTAATTGAAATGCATTCCATGTGACTACCTCATGAAGCTGGTTGAGAGAATGCCAAGAGTGTGCAAAGCTGTCATCAAGGCAAAGGGTGGCTATTTGAAGAATCTCAAATATAAAATATATTTTGATTTGTTTGACACCTTTTTGGTTACTACATGATTCCATGTGTTATTTCATAGTTTTGATGTCATCACTATTATTCTACAATGTAAAAAATAGAAAAAATTAAGAAAAACCCTTGAATGAGTAGGTGTGTCCAAACTTTTGACTGGTAGTATATACAGTATCTCACAAAAGTGAGTACACCCCTCACATTTTTGTAAATATTTGAGTAGATCTTTTCATGTGACAACACTGAAGAAATGACACTTTGCTACAATGTAAAGTAGTGAGTGTACAGCTTGTATAACAGTGTAAATTTGCTGTCCCCTCAAAATAACACAACACACAGCCATTAATGTCTAAACCGCTGGCAACAAAATTGAGTACACCCCTAAGTGAAAATGTCCAAATTGTATGTCACAGTATTCATGGTTCCCTCAATGAACTGTAGCTCCCCAGTGCCGGCAGCACTCATGCAGCCCCAGACCATGACACTCCCACCACCATGCTTGACTGTAGGCAAGACACACTTGTTTTTGTACTCCTCACCTGGTTGCCGCCACACACGCTTGACACCATCTGAACCAAATACGTTTATCTTGGTCTCATCAGACCACAGGACATGGTTCCAGTAATCCATGTCCTTAGTCTGCTAGTCTTCAGCAAACTGTTTGCGGGCTTTCTTGTGCATCATCTTTAGAAGAGGCTTCCTTCTGGGACGACAGCCATGCAGACCAATTTGATGCAGTGTGCGGCGTATGGTCTGCGCACTGACAGGCTGACCCCCCACCCCTTCAACCTCTGCAGCAATGCTGGCAGCACTCATACGTCTATTTCCCAAAGACAACCTCTGGATATGACGCTGAGCACGTGCACTCAACTTCTTTGGTCGACCAAGGCGGGGCCTGTTCTGAGTGGAACCTGTCCTGTTAAACCGCTGTATGGTCTTGGCCACTGTGCTGCAGCTCAGTTTCAGGGTCTAGGCAATCTTCTTATAGCCCAGGCCATCTTTATGTAGAGCAACAATTCTTTTTTTCAGATCCTCAGAGAGTTCTTTGCCATGAGGTGCCATGTTGAACTTCCAGTGACCAGTATGAGGGAGTGTGAGAGCGATGACACCACATTTAACACACCTTCTCCCCATTCACACCTGAGGGCTTGTAACACTAACGAGTCACATGACACCGGGGAGGGAAAATGGCTAATTGGGCCCAATTTGGACATTTTCACTTAGGGGTGTACTCACTTTTGTTGCCAGCGGTTTAGACATTAATGGCTGTGTGTTGAGTTATTTTGAGGGGACAGCAAATGTACACTGTTATACAAGCTGTACACTCAATACTTTACATTGTAGCAAAGTGTCATTTCTTCAGTGTTGTCACATGAAAAGATATACTCAAATATGTACAAAAATGTGAGGGGTGTACTCACGTTTGTGAGATACTGTATATATATACAGTGGGGAGAACAAGTATTTGATACACTGCCGATTTTGCAGGTTTTCCTACTTACAAAGCATGTAGAGGTCTGTAATTTTTATCATAGGTACACTTCAACTGTGAGAGACGGAATCTAAAACAAAAATCCAGAAAATCACATTGTATGATTTTTAAGTAATTCATTTGCATTTTATTGCATGACATAAGTAGTTGATACATCAGAAAAGCAGATCTTAATATTTGGTACAGAAACCTTTCTTTGCAATTACAGAGATCATACGTTTCCTGTAGGTCTTGACCAGGTTTGCACACACTGCAGCAGGGATTTTGGCCCACTCCTCCATACAGACCTTCTCCAGATCCTTCAGGTTTCGGGGCTGTCGCTGGGCAATACGTACTTTCAGCTCCCTCCAAAGATGTTCTATTGGGTTCAGGTCTGGAGACTGGCTAGGCCACTCCAGGACCTTGAGATGCTTCTTACGGAGCCACTCCTTAGTTGCCCTGGCTGTGTGTTTCGGGTCGTTGTCATGCTGGAAGACCCAGCCACGACCCATCTTCAATGCTCTTACTGAGGGAAGGAGGTTGTTGGCTAAGATCTCGCGATACATGGCCCCTTCCATCCTCCCCTCAATACGGTGCAGTCGTCCTGTCCCCTTTGCAGAAAAGCATCCCCAAAGAAAGATTTTTCCACTTCCATGCTTCACGGTTGGGATGGTGTTCTTGGGGTTGTACTCATCCTTCTTCTTCCTCCAAACATGGCGAGTGGAGTTTAGACCAAAAAGCTCTATTTTTGTCTCATCAGACCACATGACCTTCTCCCATTCCTCCTCTGGATCATCCAGATGGTCATTGGCAAACTTCAGACGGGCCTGGACATGCGCTGGCTTGAGCAGGGGGACCTTGCGTGCGCTGCAGGATTTTAATCCATGACGGCGTAGTGTGTTACTAATGGTTTTCTTTGAGACTGTGGTCCCAGCTCTCTTCAGGTCATTGACCAGGTCCTGCTGTGTAGTTCTGGGCTGATCCCTCACCTTCCTCATGATCATTGATGCCCCACGAGGTGAGATCTTGCATGGGGCCCCAGACCGAGGGTGATTGACCGTCATCTTGAACTTCTTCTATTTTCTAATAATTGCGCCAACAGTTGTTGCCTTCTCACCAAGCTGCTTGCCTATTGTCCTGTAGCCCACCCCAGCCTTGTGCAGGTCTACAATTTTAACCCTGATGTCCTTACACAGCGCTCTGGTCTTGGCCATTGTGGAGAGGTTGGAGTCTGTTTGATTGAGTGTGTGGACAGGTGTCTTTTATACAGGTAACGAGTTCAAACAGGTGCAGTTAATACAGGTAATGAGTGGAGAACAGGAGGGCTTCTTAAAGAAAAACTAACAGGTCTGTGAGAGCCGGAATTCTTACTGGTTGGTAGGTGATCAAATACTTATGTCATGCAATAAAATGCAAATTAATTACTTAAAAATCATACAATGTGATTTTCTGGATTTTTGTTTTAGATTCCGTCTCTCACAGTTGAAGTGTACCTATGATAAAAATTACAGACCTCTACATGCTTTGTAAGTAGGAAAACCTGCAAAATCGGCAGTGTATCAAATACTTGTTCTCCCCACTGTGTGTGTGTGTGTATATATATATATAAAATGGTGTGTATAGACAGTATGGACAGTTTATGAATAGAAAAGGTGTGAACAGCAGTAGTTATATAGGATGAGCCATGACTAGAATACAGTCCCTTCAGAAAGTATTCATACCCCTTGACCACAGGAGGTTGGTGGCACCTTAATTGGGGAGGACGGGCTCGTGGTAATGGCTGGAGCAGAATCAGTGGAAGGTATCAAATACATCAAACACATGGTTTCCATGGTTTCCATGTGTTTGATGCCATTCCATTTGTTTCTTTCCTGCCATTATTATGAGCCATCTTCCCCTCAACAGACTCCACTGCTGACTTATTCCACATTTTGTTGTGTTGCAGACGGAATTCAAAATTGATTGAAAATGAAATACAGAAATATCTAATTTACATAAGTATTCACACCCCTGACTCAATACATTTTAGAATTACAGCTGTGAGTCTTTCTGGGTAAGTCTCTAGGAGCATTCCACACCTGGATTGTACAATATTTGCCCATTATTCTTTTCACAATTCTTCAAGCTCTTTCAAATTGGTTGTTGGTCATTGCTAGACAACAATTTTCAAGTCTTGCCATAGATTTTCAAGCAGATTTAAGTCAAAACTGTAACTCGGCCACTCAGGAACATTCACTGTCTTGGTAAGGAACTCCAGTGTATATTTGGCAGTGTGTTTTAAGTTATTGTCCTGCTGAAAGGTGAATTCATCTCCCAGTGTCTGATGGAAAGCAGACTGAACCAGGTTTTTCTTTTCATCCTGAAAAACTCCCCAGTCCGTAACGATTACAAGCATAACCATAACATGATGCAGCCACCACTGTGCTTAAAATTATGGAGCGTGGTACTCAGTAATGTGTTGTATTGGATTTGCCCCAAACATAACACTTTGTATTCAGGATAAAAAGTTAATTGCTTTGCCAAATTCTTTACAGTATTACTTTTGTGCCTTGTTGCAAAGAGGATGCATGGTTTGGAATATTTATATTCTGTACAGGCTTCCTTCTTTCCACTCTGTCAATTAGGTTAATATTGTGGAGTAACTACAATGTTGTTGATCCATCCTCTGATTTCTCCTATCACAGCCATTCAACTCTGTAACTGTTTTAAAGTCACCATTGGCTTCATGGTGAAATCCCTAAGCGGTTTCCTTCCTCTCCGGCAACTGAGTTAGGAAGGACACCTGTATCTTTGTAGTAACTGGATGTATTGATACACCACCCAAAGTGTAATTAATAACTTCACCATGCTCAAAGAGTTATTCAATGTCTACTTATTTTTTTACCCATCTACCAATGGGTGCCCTTCTTTGCGAGGCCTTGGAAAACCTCCCTGGTCTTTGTGGTTGAATCTGTGTTTGAAATTCAGTGCTCAACTGAGGGACCTTACAGATAATTGTATGTGGGGGGTACAGAGATGAGGTAGTCATTTAAAAATCATGTTAAACACTATTATTGCACACAGAGTGAATCCATGCAACTTACTGTGTTGCTATGCACATTTTTACTCCTGAACTTATTTAGGCTTGCCAGAACAAAGGGGTTGAATACTTATTGACTCAAGACATTTCAGCTTTTCATTTCTAATTAACATAATTCCACTTAGAAATTATGGGGTATTGTTTGTAGGCCAGTGACAAAAATGCTAAATTTCATCCATTTTAAATTCAGGCTGTAAAACAACTAAATTAGGAAAAAGTCAAGGGGTGTGAATACTTTCTGAAGGCACTGTACATATAAAGTCGGTAAAACAGTATGTAAACATTACTCAAGTGACCAGTGTTCATTGACTCTATGTACATAGGGCAAAGCAGTCTCTAAGGGGCAGGGTAGAGTACCGGGTGGTAGGCAGCTAGTAACAGTGACTAAGGTTCAGGGCAGGGCAGGGTGGTGACTGTTTAACAGTCTGATGGCCTGGAGATAGAGGCTGTTTATCAGTCTCTCGGTCACAGCTTTGATGCTTTGATACAGTAGGCTACAATAATAGCGTACTGTGCTGAGAGTTTGCATTGGTAGCTTGACAAGTGTTACATAGTCATGCAAGGATGACTCCAAGGTTTGGTAAGACTGCAGTGTCACTTCAGTTTAAAGAAAGAAAATGGTCACCAATGACATGTGATGAGCTGCCTTTCACCAAGTTTAATTTGGCTTTTTAAAACACAATTGCTAAAACTATGTAATTGCTGGAAAATTTGAAATAATATGATGGAAGTTTTCCATAGTGCGCCTTTCTTATTTTTAGATAAAGAATATTGTAAATTGTCTCTGTCCTTCTACACTTTTGAAAAAAACTGCATGCACAAAGAATAACACCTCAAAATAGTTTTACTAATATAATGAATGTCCAAAATTGCACAGATGTAGAATAGGAAATGCTGCCCTGGCAGGTCAAATGATAGGGAACGAACTTACAAGACATCAGTTTGCTTGAGTTAACTTGTCACAAAATAATATATTTTATCACAATACTTCACAACACTTTGCATATCTATGGTCTGTATTGACTATTAACAGGTGCTGCATTACATGTAGGCCTAAGTCCTGAAAAAAGCATATTGATAGGTAGAAAAGGACAATTTACCTGAACAATACAGCACTTTGTCTTTATTCCCTTCAGTAGTTTCGATTAAGATACTCATTGCCACCAAGGCAATTTGAATAATCCATGGTGCCATATTCGTACCCTGAGGGAAAGAGATATGTATAAAGCAGGCAAGCAAAGCCAATTCATTATTCAAATTCAAAAAAGGTATTTGCCATTGAGCGCCACCCACAGTCTATCTAGCAAGAGTCATATTCTGAAATCAGATTGTGAGGCAAATTACTACAGAAGTAACCTTACTTTAACACAAAACAACAATAAAACTGATTTCCACAAACTGTCTTGACGTAACAGAATGTGTTGAGCTCCAAGAAGTTACACTATCTGTGAAGGGGTATAATTGTACAGAGCTAGAGTGAAACTGGGTTTAACATGGGCCACAAAACTGAGTGCCTCTCCACAAGGGTGTGGGGGGTTGGCCACAAGTTGTGTTATCTTTAGATCACATATTCAAACAGAACTGCAGATATTATGATGAGCAAGATACAAGACTTCGCTCTCACACAGTCACACAATGTATTGGTGCATGTGCATGGGTTCTTACAACATGGTAGCCATGGGACCAGTGCCGCCTCTGTCTATACGCAGACTACGCGCTGCGCGTAGGGCCCTGAAGCCGCTAGGGAGCCCCCGACCCCCAAAAAAGTAAATTAAAATAAAATGTTGGAACTCAGTCGGGGTTTGAACTTACTGTTAAGAGTGATAAAAGTAGAATACACAAGGTGCAATTTAGAAATGTGGTAGTACATCAGCAGTTATCCACTTGTTATGTCAGTCACTGAGCACGGTTACATGCACAAAATAATATGATTATTGTGGATAGTCAGATTAATATAATAATTCGATTAAAACATTTACATGCATTACAAGAAGAACGATTTCCCTCATAATCCTGTTTACATGGACACATCTGAAATCAGGCTACTGATGGCACTCTGATAAATGCAGAAATTCGCCAATCAAAATAAACGTTCTACCACAGCGTCCATATTGTTTTTGGGAAGCATATTTGATTCTGAGTTCGGACATATAAAGTTTGTATGCGAATCGCATCTCTGCATGTCTGGCAGACATATCAGTGTGGATGTCAGATCACCACCTCAAGCTGAACCTTGGCATGACGGAGCTGCTCCTCTTCCCGGGGAAGGACTGCCCGCTCCATGATCTGCCATTACGGTTGACAACTCCGTTGTGTCCTCCTCCCAGAGTGCAAAGAACCTTGGTGTGACCCTGGACAACACCCTGACGTTCTCCGCTAACATCAAAGCGGTGACCCGATCCTGTAGGTTCATGCTCTACAACATTCGCAGAGTACGACCCTACCTTACACAGGAAGCGGCACAGGTCCTAATCCAGGCACTTGTCATCTCCCGTCTGGATTACTGCAACTCACTGTTGGCTGGGCTCCCTGCCTGTGCCATTAAACCCCTACAACTCATCCAGAACGCTGCAGCCCGTCTGGTGTTCAACCTTCCCAAGTTCTCTCACGTCACCCCGCTCCTCCGCACACTCCACTGGCTTCCAGTTGAAGCTCGCATCTGCTACAAGACCATGGTGCTAGCCTACGGAGCTGTGAGGGGAACGGCACCTCCTTACCTTCAGGCTCTGATCAGTCCCTACACCCAAACGAGGACATTGCGTTCTTCCACCTCTGGCCTGCTGGTCCCCCTACCTCTGCGGAAGCACAGTTCCCGCTCAGCCCAGTCAAAACTGTTCATTGCTCTGGCACCCCAATGGTGGAACAAGCTCCCTCACGACGCCAGGACAGCGGAGTCACTGACCACCTTCCGGAGACACTTGAAACCCTACCTCTTTAAGGAATACCTGGGATAGTATAAAAGTAATAATTCTACCCCCCCCCTACCCCACCCCCACAAAATAAAAAAATTATAAAAAATAAAATAATTGTAAAGTGGTTGTCCCACTGGCTATCATAAGGTGAATGCACCAATTTGTAAGTCGCTCTGGATAAGAGCGTCTGCTAAATGACGTAAATGGAAATGTATGTGAAAACGACTTCTAAGACGCATACATTCAGTTGTTCCGAAATCACTTCATTTGGGCTAAAGAGGGAGGCTTGCTCGGCTGGTGCTAGCACATGCGCAGATCATATACACGGCTGGAACGCCGATTAAGGTGTTTACATGTTCTAATAATTCGAAAGATTGCTCAGAAAACCAGGTGTTTTAATTGGCGTATGCTTACTTCGATTTTGACCTTACGCTGATTAAGATAAGCAGAGTAATGTGTCCATCATCAAGTTTGCTGACGACACCACGGTCGTAGGCCTGATAACCAACAAAGATGAGTCAGCCTATAGGGAGGAGGTAAGTGAACTGGCATTGTGGTGCCAGGACAACAACCTCTCCCTCAATGTCAGAAAAACAAAGGAGTTGATTGTTGACTTCAGAAACATGTTCTGATCCACATCAATGGGACTGCAGTAGAGAGAGTCAGCAGTTTTAAGTTCCTCTGCATCCACATCACCGAGGACTTGACATGGACCAACAACACCACCACTCTTGTCAAGAGGGCGCAACAGCGTCTGTACTTCCTAAGGCGGCTGAAGAAATTCATCATGCCACCCCGGGTCCTCTCCAAGAACTACCGCTGCACCATCGAGAGCGTCCTGACCGGTTGCATCACGGCCTGGTACGGGAACAGCTCTGTCCACGACCACAAGGCCCTCCAGCGGGTGGTGAAGACAGCCCAGTACATCACTGGGGCCGTGTTAACACCAATCCAGGACATCATCTAAAAATGGTGCCTGAGTAAGGCCCGCAGCATCATCAAGGACCCCACACACCCCAGCCACGAGCTGTTCACTCCCTTACTGTCGGGGAGATGGTATCGGAGCATGAGGTCTGATACCAACAGCCTCAGAGACAGTTTCTATCTACAAGCCATCAGACAGCTGAAAACTTGAACTGGACTGACCTCCTGCTCTGATTCTCCACACACACACACACACACACACACACACACACACACACACACACACACATACACACCTGCTGCTACCAGACTCTTATTATGATTGCTAAATACTGCACAATTTAAACACTTGCCTGCAATCCTCCCTTCCCCAAAACATGTGTAAATATTGGACTATACATTTTGTCTTCCTGTATTATACTTATGCTAAAATGTTTTGCCTGCGAGGGGGGCCCCCCAACCAAATCTCGCTTAGGGCCCCCAAAAGGATGGAGGCACTGCACTGGACCAAAACAGCAGAGAAGTTTAGCCTTGCTGTGCTCCAACACTCTTAGTTGTTGTGGAAATAATTGACCCACTATGCTGTTTACTTTGTTCATCTATGTCATATTACTGACTCTATCTTTAAAATCAACTTCTGGTAGATCACTGTGAAATAATCAAAGGCATGCAGTACGAAGAAAGCATGGTAGTGGTGGAAAGAGGGCAGGAGAAATGCTATAATAGCCTACTTGTATAGGTTGACTGACCTCTATAGGCATATTAGTTAAATCTATACCCTCGTTAAAATGCATTACAAAGAAAAAGTTCAACAAATAATTAATTTTAAATAAAAATTCTGGATGCAAAGCACTGTAAATTGACCACAGCACTGTAAATGTGCCTTTTGACGCCTTTATCTCATTGACAAACAGAGGATTGACTGCTTTCTGGATGCATCACTGTCAGCGCGTTAAAAGCAGAAAAAACGAAGCCTATGTGAATACAGCATTCAGCCAAGATACAGTTGTGGGGCAGCCTATTTTCATGTAGCCTACTCAGGTCAAAAACATTATAAAGAAAATCCAAATATGCTACCCTGCCATTTTCTACCAATTCCATCAGTCTGGTAGCATAATACTGGCTTGCAATAGACCCTTGGAACTTACCTGGTTCAACAGTCAGGTGAGTAAGAATTAGGAACTTTTCAGCACGGTAGGCTATAGCAGTGAAGTCGGATTCAGACGCGAGGGACAACGTTGTGGATACTGATTGAACATAAAACAAACGGCTAAAGTGAAGTTCGTTTTTTTATGTTCCCCTGTTTTGAATGAAACGTGATAATATCTACTTTACTGTCAGTGGACAGTGTCTACTTACGTGCTTGTTCCAGGCGTTGCCACGTTCAGCCAGGAAGCAGAACAATGACAGCTGTGTGAGCCAATGGTATTGTAAACTCAGCACAGATATCCAATGACTGAACGCTGCCTCGCGGGAATGAACATTCTGAGAACACCGGGCGTAGAGTTGCTCTGAGGTGCGTTCCAGATCGACAACAATCACCTGCTTTTGAGCTAACAGTAACTTCATCATGCTTGTTAATGAATGAGTCGACTACATAGGCGCTGTGCAAATTTGTTCCATCTTTCCAAGTAGTCCTATCCTTTAATACCCTTCTCAGTCGACTCTTGTGAATAAGCACAATAGCCTAATAATGCAATAAGAAGGCTATGCTGATCTCTTTGTCAAGTGACCCACATCATGTGGGCGCATTGCTGCAAAAATGTGGACAGAAGTGTAAGCCAATTTGCTAAGCACCACAATAACAATCACACAATTTATACAATGTGTTATAACTGTTTATTACATATCCTTAAACTATATATACTAACAGTTAACAGTTTGTAAACTTCTTATAACCCCTTTAACATTTATCAAATAGGTAATGGTCAATACTGTATCCCTACTTTATTGTATAATAACCATTGGCATGCTTTTAGGATTACCCTTTCACCCCAGTCCATTCTATTAGAAATCAACAATTAGTCATGTTAGCTTAGCTTAATTGTGGTCCTGTGCTTAAGGAGATTTAATTGCTTGTGTTGATTTAGACATAATTGTTTTGCATTCATGGGCAAAATGATGAGGTCATGCTGCTCATTTTCTATACATCAACAATTGTAGTCTCTTAATTTTGGTGGTTAGTAATTCAAAGTAGTCAAGCACTAGCAGCAAACTAGAGGTGTGCTACAGTGACCGTTGGTTTCACATTGTGCCTCCAGCTAGTGACAGGTGGTCCCTTCAGAGGGGAATTTGACCTGGTTTTCTCGCCAGTAACTGCATATTATCCACAGATCACCTTCTCTTATAAAGGGGGAGTGTGTTTAC